ATCTTCATAAGGAATGCCAACAGGAAGCTCCCAGAAATAGACATTCTACTTACCCTAGACAGAGACCTACAAACCCGGACCTAACCCTTACCCTAGACAGAGACCTACAAACCCGGACCTAACCCTTATCACATTTAAAATCCTTAATGACCCTTGCCCTCTCGAATTCATACTGCAAATACATACAATATACTCTCATCGGTATCCCAGGAGCACGTCCTCATATACAAGACAATAGGGACTTTTAGATATGCACGTCGACTGCTACGTGTGACGTCCTTTTAAGGCACAGCGCCTTAAAAGGACGTGACACGTAGCAGTCCACTATGCCGGCGTGCATATCTAAAAGTCCCTAATAACGACAACCTTTCTTATCACTGATATTTCTGCAGGAACTGACTGCTGATCTCAAACTCCAACGGAGGGAGAAGAAGAAGACTAAATCGTATCGTAGTCTTAAGTACGACATCGTGATAAACAAGTTTTTTAATTAAACACCAGTTTGTGAGAAACCAATTTCTAACATATTGAGAAAAATTAAAAGACTTATATACCATATAAACTGTCACATGTTTTTAAATTCTATTATACGCCAATTATGCCATTCATTTTATCTTCATGCAGCATATTTGTGAAAATATGTCCCTATCGTTATCGTTGTAACTATTTTTAATAAATTGATATTATCAGCTCTGTCATTACGCTTAACCATGCATGATACACGATACATGGCACCGTTTCACAGAACCGTCATACGTACAACTTCACTGACATGCCATTAAATACGTATATTGTAATTTAAATACGTTTCAATGAGATGTCGGTACAGTTGTACTTGTGATGGTTTCGTGAAAACGATGCCCGGGTCGTTCTTCCATTGATGAGAATACACACACGAATGGACAAAGAAGGATGTGTAATGTGTGTTTAATATTGTAGGTGTAGACTTAAAGGGGGAGTCTACCCTGGTATTTAATTCTCTTAAATAAAAGCAGGGGGAAAAGACAGAACAGACAAAGTGTGAGGAATCTCCGATTGAAAAATAAGAAAGGTTTTTCAAATTGCAATCAAACTTAAATTAGCGATTACCAGACATACCTATTAAACACCATTCCCACTTGCTCTACATTAAACAAAATATGAACTAAATTTTTCTGTAGTGAAGGATAAACTCATTTCTACATGCAACCCGAATATAATCATTACATAGATGTTTTACACAACCCCTTTTTTAAGTAAAAATCGAATGCTTCATCGAAAACCCAAGAAAATCAAAATTCATGAAACTAGAGCTATTGAGCAATTGGAAGAGATGCTCGGAGTTTTCGTCACAGATTTCCAATTTGAATGTGTTAATGATTGTATCTTTGAATATTCATAACTTTCTTATGTCTTATCGGAGATTCCATGAAGCATTTTTGCTGCTATTGTTAAAATCTCCCCCATCAACCTAATATCATGGTAAATCTCCCATTTAAACAAGGGATTTTCCCTTCTACATGAATCCCATTATTTGTACATTGTCACTGTACATGTATTGTAATGACTGGTCTTGTATTTTTGTATCGTTGATGGTCGCGGTTATTGGTCGCCAAAAGTAGCCCAATGACTGCTGTGTGTTCAAGTCGAGGGAACAAGTTTTGAGTCGGTCATGTCACCTTACATTGTAATAATAGTGATCATTCGTTCGTTTTTTTTTTAGTTTTTTTTTTTACTCATATTTTGTTCCAAATAAAAGGATAACAAGAAAAGTTGCAGGCAGTTTTAACCAATCAGAGACGTAGAATTTTGTTATGCTGTATATAATATAGAATGATGACGTGGCCTCATCAAATGACAGTATATTTGAACGGTTTGAAATGACTTTGAGAGTGAATTATTGTAGATCTGTGAAATTAGGGATGAGGATAACTTACTGAATGATAAGGATATCCGTAGCCATTATTTTTTTCTGAAACAAATAGTACGGACAATGTTCAACATAATTAGTCAGAAAAAATTGCAACAAAAGGTTTTTCAACGGTTTCTAGTAGTATTTGACCTCAGGAATCACATACTAGAAGTATACCATAATTGAAGCTTCAGAAAGCTGTTATTTTCAAGATGGCGTCCAAGATGGCCGCCGATACCTAAAAAATGGTCATAAATCACTTATTATCCATCCTAGAGACATAATTTTGGTGTCTATCCCATGGTTTTGGGGTCCGAGAATCCATTGAGACAAGTATAAATGGTTTGTAATGGTCTAGGAAACCCCAAAATCAAAGATGGCGTCCAAAATGGCCGCCATAACAATTGTCATATGTCACTTATTATCCATCAGAGAGACATAATTGGGGTGTCTATGCTATGGTTTAAATAATTGAAATTTATCCCAGGAAGCATTTCATTTATAAAGGTTATATTGTCCTATGGCGGACCAATGAATATTAATAAGTCAGAATAAATCAGGAGAGCTTTGGGTATTTTTTTCTAGTTCATCGTGACTGTGCCATGGACCAGTGATGGCCTGGTGGTAGAGTCGCTGCCCGGCAGCAGTAGATGCAGGTTCAAGTTCCGCTGGTTCAAAGATTTTTTTCTGACTTGTTTTTCAATACAGATCGATCAATCGATCTTATTGACTGGGTGTGAGCCACAAATATGTTTAAATGCTTGAAATTTCTCCCAGGAAGCATTACATTTATAAGAGAGATAATGTTTATTTTTAGTGAATCTAAGCAACAGGGACGTGAATATAGAAAATTCTAACAAGAACCCTCAAGCCCCCGTCCCCAGCCGCCAGAGCCCCCAAGGCCCCACAGCCCCCTTCCCATAACAAAGGTTATTTTACCACCTCTCCTACTAACGCCCATACCATACTTACTCAACATTTGCTTATTGCTAAACTCCCCTCCTGCTAGTAAAGCCAAGCCAACATACATCAGAGCAAGAACGACAGCCTTCATGGTGATTGTAGATGTACTGTAGATTAAACTGATCTGGCATACAGCTCAATTGATTTTGATCTCTTTGCTATTGCTAAGCCTGCATTATTAAGGTTTAGGACACACTGTTACTGTCCTCTTTACCTGATACAATACCTTATACAACATTTATCAATCCCTCATTGGCCTGGATAATTCGTATTCGGTACCAGATGAATGTATTTTACATTGACAAAAAAAAAAAAACTGGTATGATACAGAAAGAGAGAGAGAGAGAGAATAATTACAGTTTTCTTTTCGACATTGGCTTTTTAGTCATCTTAATATAAATGGTACTCGAGCGGGCGCCGATTTCAAATATAAATGAGTCAAACATACTTAATCACTCTATTTATTACGACATAGTATCATTAAAATCCAACACCAACCCCCAAATTAGGCGATATAAAAACGAAATTTAGATCGTTCTTGTCCTGCATTGATTTTAGAGATATCAGAATTGATAAAAATGGCACAAGCTGTCATTTTGATCTCTAAAAGGACTGAAACATAATAGTTTGATTTAGTGTGATTTTAATACTTTTTATTTTTTGTTTTGTTCTTTAATCTTAAACCTAATTTAAGATAATGACAATTGTTGTCATTTGAAACTGCTAAAAGCATTATTCTGCTTGACTATGTTTATCCTGATAAGTAGTAGTTTTTAATTATTTTATCACAAAAGTTAATGGTTTGCATTTGAAATATCAAACTCTATTGGAATCCATATGGCTCCGAATAGTCTCATTGGACAACGCCCCCTATCGTCAGAGTCCAGCAGCCTAACATGTTAGCATACTGACTTTTACCCCCAAAATCGTTAAAAATTCATTTTGTGTTTGTTTAAACGAAAAGCACATCCACCCGACATACGTTGACACTAGCTCTTTCATTGGAACCCTCATGTCCCATTGACTTTTGAAAGTTCACCTACCGTAATTTGGTCAATATAGGTCGCTAGCTCGCCATTGCCTATATAACACCTGTGAAACAAGTCGAACTTTGGACGCAATTTGCCAAGCGATTGTACGATTATAGGTCAAGCACACGAAGGATAACAAGCATGAATTATCATAGATCAGTTCTGATCGGTTCATTATGTCCATTTCAGCCAACCCCCACCGTAATTTTTCCATTTAGTATAGGCAAGCATTTTGCCGAGGTAAGCAAAAACATGAATATTCATGATCGCCATGGACCATTCGATTATTTACAGAGGGGTGCAACTGTGCACCACATGAAACTCCCCTACTGTAAGTAAAGTATTTCATGTATTATCTAGTTTGGTAGGTTTATTTTACTAACTGTTTAATTATCAGCTATCAATGGTGGTTTAAAGATATGGAAAATGTTCTTGTATTTTATATTTAGCAAAGCAATCTCACATACAAATTCACTACCAAGTGTCGTCTAATCCGCCGAATGCCGTCTGTTATATACGTCCAGCGATCGAAAATGAGACAACCGGAGCAATATGAACATGATATTCACCCTCAGCTGCTCGAATTCGAATTTGATATTAGTTTAAATATGCAATCATTCGAGAATGACTGAGCGACAGAAAACAAACTTGCTATTGTTGTATTATGAAAAGAAACTTGTGAAAAGTCATTTTATCATGTGACATATAAATGACGAAAACAAAGGAGGTGCAAAATATCTCTACGTTCTACATGTTACATCCAGATATTGCGTGCATGGGTTTTGAGTGAATATACATTATAGTTTCAATCTTGCAACAGTAATTCGAAATGTCCGTTTTGCCCACACGGCATCACAATCAAGTTGCCGCCACGCCATTCAGTCAGAAGCAACTTATGAAAAACAGTTAAAGTGCCCGTTCAAAGAAAATTACAAATTACCCGTATCACTAGAAACTGGTAAGCTAACAGATGTTCATCGTAAAAGTTTTAGGTCAACTACATATCGGATGATTTGTAAAAAAATACAAATAAAACCACCTCCTCTGTCTTGGGATATACAGTACGAGAGATTCGCCAGAAAAATAACAATGTTTTAATGACGCCACAATATGAATCAAACTTGCCCAAGCAGACGAGATCCTATAAAGAACAAACATAGTTGCAATGGTATTATTTCTGTTTGGCCATTCCTTGAACCATAATGCATGGCCCTACAGAGTAATTTTTCTTGTTTGGGACCGGGGGGAAATGCAATGAATTATTGATAATTTAATACATTTTCTTGTTTTTTGTGTATCTATGGGGGCGGCCCCGTACCCTAGCCTCCGCTGCGTACAGTCATGAATCAGTAGCTAAGAAAAGGCCTCGTTACTGTGAGAACCCGGGATAGAAACCGTGTCGATCAGATATATTCGTGCCTTTTGTGAGGCATTAATCCTCATTACTGTCAGTTCTGACTTATGGACGTAGGTCCCCTAGTTGATTAGCATAGTAGCACACACAGGCTTTAGCATTCACGCAAAACAGACACTCGCAAACTATTTTTCAATAAATCTGAAAATGTATACTATTATTTAGATCTATTAGGAATAGACCATTGTCAAAATCATTCCATTAATTGGGGTAAAAATAATTATTCCACCTTTATGACCAACAGTGTATATTAAAAAAGTAGCCTATTTCTCTTTCTATTTTTGCAAATGATATTAATGTCTCTATGAGATTAATCTAAAGATTGAAAAATAAATCCAAATAAAAAAGCTCACAAACAAAAACAAATACTAAAGAATTCAATGATTTTATGTAATCGGTTTTCATCCAGGATTATGTAAGCACCATCCTCGTTATCATTACAAGCTTTTACTGCGTCTGCAGATTGGTACACATGAGTTTCAGTGTTTTCTACAGACCCTCCTCGTTCCTCCTGCTTAAGGGATTTAGGTATACGCGTAGAGTAGTAGCCTTCACTGCCGGGGATTTTCAAGGATCCCATACCATCCTGTGATGGGAGTATATGCGAAGAGTAGTTCACATTAGAGCCAGCGGTTGTTCTGTCTTGTGGGTCACGATCTATGACAATGTACCCATCTTCATCGGTACTTCTGGCCGAAACAGGAACTTGGACCAGGCCTACATCTGGCATGTCTGGGTAGTTGTAGTCATGGTCCGATGAGCTGTTCTTCACAGGAACGCCCCGGAATGGGACGAGGTACCCATGGGATAGTTCAGGATCTGCCGTGGTTGCCGAAGGAACTTTCTTGTCAGGATCTTCGTAGAAAATTTCTCCTACCGAGGTCTCAAGAGGTCTCTTCACTGGAGGATTAGTCCCTTAAACGCGTTGCATTCTATGTGATGAAGGCATTGCTTTAAACGACCGAGATGTTGCGCCATCGACACTCTTATCCCGAAGGGCCCTGTCTTGGTGTTGTTCATCAGCTCTCTCCGTGCTTCAGGCATTGATATGTCAGTATACCTACAGCAACGATGACCAGGAAAATGACGACCGGGATAAAGATTTTAATGGCAATGTGAACCGATGGACCCACGGCTTCTATGGTGGAAAGGCCTAGATAAATTTTGGTAAATACATAAATTAATCAATTTATATAGCCGTTTGATTTAAACAGGGCAACACTCTCAGTATGAAAACTGTTTTTCTGAGAGGCCCTTTACAAATTATAGGTCAAAAATACAGATAGAAAAAAGTTTAAATTTAATCAAATCATAACATGGGTTATTTGTTTTTGTTTCTTGTTTTGATACAGCATGATATAAACACGAAAAATATTTCATGTGAAAAAGTAACTGCAAAATAGTGATGATATTGTTATGATAATACTGATAATGATAAACAAATAATATTAAAACTACTAGTACTAGTACTACTACTACCAATAATAAGAATAACAATAATAACATAATATCAATAACAATATTAATAATAATATCAATGAAAAATAGCTATTTAAAAAATGCCGCAGTTTTGCTTCGACATGTCTGAACGAGCCTTATTATAAAATGTCAGAAGTTCTACGAGACCGAAATTGTCTATCTAGTGTATGGGATGTCGGTTTTGGGGCTGTTGGCTTCCCATGCCGATCATACAATTTTGATTGAATATGTTAATACTACTTCTGACTTATCGACGGTGATGTTACTGATGAAGAACATAAAAACAAATAAAATACCACACATTTACCTATGAAAAGTGTCATAACCCTTTTAAAGTGGTGTATTTATATTCATGCAAAATGTAATGTACGATTGGCATGCATTTTTATAATGGTTACCGGCTACCAAATCGACTGGGGATTGAGACCAAGGGTTCAGTGAAAATGATATCCATTACGATAGTCGTTGTCGAATCACTACCTGTTGATTCTGGTGAAGACCTTGTCCACTCCGATGTCGTCAGGTTGGTCATCGTTTTCCCTGTGGTATTCATTGTCTGCTTCGTGCTGGTAGATGATTTTAAGGTGGTTGTTGTTGTTGCTTTAGTAGTTGTAGCTTTGTAATGAGACAGGAATGAATCAAGATGACACATATACGTATCAAGCGTATAGTGATTCAACAGCATCAAATGTTATTATTTGATGCTAGATAACATTAGGCATTGATAAGATTTGTTAGGCGCAAAATCCTTTTTTTTTAATCACAAGCTCAAGGTGCACTAGTGGAAAAGATTTTAAAAAAATATTCACAAGAGTACAATTTGAGTAGTATATTTTATTAGTGATGTTGTTGTTCTTGTTATTATTATTATCATTATCATTATTACTATTATGAGTATTATTATTATTATCATTATTATCATTATTGATATTGTTCATATTAATATAATTTTCATCATCATCATCATCATTGCTTTTGTTGTTGTTGCAACAATGAATTAGAGCGAATAGTATAAATGAGAGCATTATGTATGATAGGTTATAATACTATAGGATTACATTACACGTACAGTGTATTTTTAATATAAATATTATTCTTTGAGCGAGGATCCCAGTTTGCAGCTCTTTCCTGTTCAGCTTATGAATAGTCGTGTAGTCTTTATCATACACAATGGCCTAATTGTGCAGTCAATTTCTACGACATAGAAAGCCTATAAAATACTTGTATCAGGCAAGTTTGTATTGGGTGGGGTTTTGATTCATACTCATCACATTCACTACATACTTGGTGGTGAAGTTGACACGACCCGGATGTTATCCACGGCTACGCGACCAGATGACAGGCTCCACAACGCAGTGAACGTTACCTACGAAGGAGAGGAATTAATTCATGAAACGTGAATTTGAGCAAATGAAAATTGTTCATAAAATCTACTGGAGAAATACAAATGACACTAACTTTGAATTAATGTTTGATAGAAACATACATGATCGGGTGAAAATGGTGGATAACAGATATATTCAAGTTATTACTTTTTTCATTAATGATTAAAAAAATGACTTGATAGATTGGATCTAAACTGAACATTAATGTTAAGAAGTAACACTTTCTCTTGAGCAAGGGTATGAAATGAGAAATCATTTTTAGTGTTAACAGATTTTATTTTCCTTTCCTAGTATGGTTACTTCGTTTCACCGGTTTTCAATAATTTGACAAATACAGGGAAATTATATTTGGACTATAAGGATACCGTACACAAGTGAATTCCCCTGTTTGTGTATAAACCCATGAACATTATTAAAGTGAAGAAGAATAAGTCTTACATATGTGTTTGTTTATTCATTTGTTTACTTATCTTAAAAATTACTTCTTGTGATTCCATGTCATAAGACACAGAAATACATTCCAGGCCACACTCTTCCATTTTATCAACTTTTAGTACGTGTAGTTTTCTAAAGCGGCATCCAAAAATATGATTTACTTTCCAATATACCAACAAAAGATGTTTGTATTAGTGTGGATTAGTGTCTTGCCTATAATGTCCAGCAATTGTTTTACCACACTTTTCCGAGTTTACATGTATGGATTTTATAAATACTTCATGTGAGAGGAATAACACCTCATTAACAAATGCTAAATATTATTTACATATGTGTTGTGGTCTAGTGGATAAGTTTCCGAACCGTGAACCACAAGGTAATGGTTTCGAATTCCTGCCACAGCGATACCTCCTTTGGTATGACGTTAATCTACATTAGTCACACCCCGCCCAGGAAAGGTTAATGCACGGATTTCTGGTAGGATTATACCTTGAAATGCACTATGCGCTGACAACAGCTGCATGAACGAAAGCCGGGGTAACACTCTCCAAAGCTCTTTGGAAGTGCATAGGGACATAATATCATAATTATTATTATCATTATAATAATAATGATAATATTAATAATAGTAATCATTATTATTATTATCATCAGCATTATTACTATTATTATCATTATTGTTATTATTATTATTACTATCATTGCTACCATTATTACTAATATTAATGTTGTTGTTATTATTATTATTATTATTATTATTATTATTATTATTATTATTATTGATGTCAATATGTCATCGTCATCATCATAAATAACGCATACCGTAGGTTCATATCCATGGCAGTAGATTCTGATGTTTTCCACTAACTCCCAGTTGCCATTAGACTGTAGGTTGACATCATCTATTATCAAACCACAGACAGAAATCGTCAGGATGCTCTCACCAGGGTCAAAGAACTTGAAGTGGAAGGAGAGGAGTCCAGAGTTTTGTTGTAGATTAGGATTTGGTAGTTGGAACATTGCTTGAATCTGCATGTTTCCTCTTCCACCCGTCGTAAGTAGGAACCCATCTATGTAAAGAAAGCAATGAGTCATAATCTGATGTATTTAGAGATTTAACTAGAAAAAATATTATTAAACCTTTTTAGTTTTAATATTACTATATATTAGCTAAAGTGCGTATTTATTTCACAACACTTCATAACATATCATACATTATAATAAATGATAAACGTCAGATACACAAAGTGAAAGAACATGTGAGATAAACCTTTAAAAGTTGATTGCGATACATCATAATAAGAAAGAGAGGGGAAAAAATCAGTACAGGATGAAATATGTATAAAAGACAAGTTAATTTGGTTGTGAAATATGAGATTGCTTCTATGGGTAGATAGATACCTTTAGGTGAAAAAAATAACCAGGGGGCCGTTTCTCAAAATCGCCATACATCTACCTTTCTATCATGGACTTTCTATTGAACTTAAATGTCCATTGGGAAGATTATGACTAAAAATGATGTACTCCAAATGAAGAATATTATTACATCTGCTGGGTTCATACAGTCGATACATGCATCTCTGATCATTACATGATCTGCTCCTAGCTGGCTAAACAGAAATCAGAGCCAATCTCTGTTACTTCTTCCTTACGCAACTATTGCAAGATCGATTAAGTTAAATTCACTAATACTTTACATGATTTAATATCATCTCAACCTGCAGGATTAGATAATGAATCCTTATTTGATCGGTATGTTTCTGGAGTCACTAAGGTACTTGATACCTATGCTCCATCGGAAACCGAGTCTCGCCCTTTGAAGTTACGTAGACCTTGGTTCAATGAGTCTGTGCTTCTTGCACGCCAACATCGCCGTAAAGCAGAACGGAAATGGCTAAAAAGACTGGACTCAGATTGCAAATTGTTCATAGAAGTTTATAAGAATGTAATAAGTCATTGATATCGCTAAAGAATTTTTTTTGAAAGATAAGTTGGCTTCGTGTACTGTCAAGGAGGCATATCAGGCAGTCTCCATCAGTTGTTACCTTCAGAAAGGCCTTAAAAACACATCTTTTTTGTGCAGTTTGTAGTTGTAATATATATATGTATTTATGTAATTTAATTTTCATTCACTGTAAAGCGCTTTCGGCCTTATGGGAAAAGCGCGGTATAAGTTATATTAATAATAGTAATAATGATTACGTGTGTTTATAGAATTAACACGCGGATCAATGGGTGATCCACGAACTTAGACTTCTGACGGTTTCGAGAAACTGGTCCCTTATACGAACCATTTGCGCCTCCTGATGGTGCATTGCCATTGTAGCCCCGGCCACTGGTCGCTCCCCAGGCAGGTGATGAGCTGGGCTGTGTAATACCACATTCGTTCAATCCAGCATCTGACGACCATGTACGTTCCCCGAAATTACAGAATAATTCTACAAAGCAAAAGGAAAAATATTCAATTTACCTCTCTTTCCTCAATTCACTCAGGATTACATCAAGGTATCTTCATGAACTATGAACTAATTTGATACATAATGAATCTCCTTTACGTGTAGACGAATAAGGATCTCTCTCTCTCTTTCTCTATCCCTCTCCCTTTCTCTCTCTCTTTCTCTCTCTCTCTCTCTTTCTCTCTCTCTCTCTCTCTCCCTCGCTCTCCCTTTTCTCCCTCCGCTTTCCTCCATCCCCCCTTGTCTCTCACTCGTATACTCTTTTTGTACATGAGTAAGAGACTCTTATGGCAAATGTTCTCGTATCTGCGAATCATCCCTAAATAATGAGTTATTTCTCCCTTTTCATGACATTACTGATTCAATTCAATTCGATTTAGTTCAATAGAAAGTTTATGTAAACATGCATAAACACAAATATTGGGATATAAAATCCATCGCAGCCGATAACATATCAATTCTGTCGTAAAAGCAAAAGGCAAAACAACAACATCAAAAAAAGAACAAGAAGAAAGAAAGAAAAGAAAAATAAGGGAAAAGGGGAAGGCAGAACAATGATGAGAACTCTCACCAGCATATGAACGATGTAACGTCACGGTTATCACCAGTGTCAGTACACACTGAACACGATACATAGACCATAACATCATGGCAGTTGTGGCTGCAGCGAGGTCGATAATAAATCAAAAGTCTAAACAAAGGCTTCTACAGGAATTCATAGCTTTAATTGGTGTAATCATGTCGTTCCAATTCATTCCGTGAAAACTGTGGATAAATGACAGATAAAGAATAATAAATACAAGTACATCATAGCATCATCAATATAGCAATAAACACAGTCTATTTGAGAAAGTCATGAAATAATGTACATTGTGTCATGATCTTTTTAATTCATTAAAATAACCCCAGTCACTATTCTAGTCCATATGTATTAAACGGCTTTACATAAATACAAATCACTACAAGTGTCTCAACTAGACTTCACTATATCTTGAATAAGCGATGAACTAAACAATAATAAATTCCGAATCTCTACTTAGTGCTTCAGCACTCTCATAATAATCTTCAAATTATTAGCAGTATCTTCACTGTTATCCTTGTTCTTAATATCAAATCAAATGTACATATTAAACCAGCATGGGCTTCCATGTCTTACACTACATACTAACATCAACATATCTCAGTATGAAGTACAAAATACACACACTAATTTACACTTTATGTTTCAACAATTCATAGAAATAGATTCAATATACAACAAAACTAACCTCTTTGACTGACATAATGACAAACTTAGAACTGAAATCTCCTTGATGCTCTGGCAAAAAGGGGATTCTTGGACCTCAACACAACCATGTTCTTGTAGCATTCTGAGTGTTTGATATCAAGTGAATACCAATAGATGGCGCTATACTAGTCACCTTGCCTGAGGAAGTGCTATTACAAATATATGTGTATTCATGTCATGCATCAATAGTACTAGAAACAAATGACTTGGGTGATAACGTATTCAAGTGCAACTGTCACAACAGCAGTTTTTGGTGTTGATTCGATATTATCTTACAAAACTCTGCCTGCATCAACGAAAGACGAAGTATTGACTTGTATTCTATCACTAAATGTAAAGCAAGGATCTGTATTGACAATGTCTGGATAAAACTACTCGAACAAGGAGGAACTAGATGCAATTAAACCCACTTAGTTCTACTTGAACGAAAAGAGCAAAATAAATACCTTTTAAGTACGCTAGATGAGTGAACTTTTGTGAGAAGCTTCCTCAATCGTCAAAGCTAATATTTGCTATCAATATGACGAGTCTAATCGAAACCATATTTAGGAATAATACACAATGGTAATAACTTCATTTTGCATAACGCTATCTGCAATTTTTCAATTTTTATTGTGTTTTTAATCACCCGGTCGTAAGATTCAATTGCTTCTTTCCGCAGTGGTCCAACTTCATAAGGAATGCCAACAGGAAGCTCCCAGAAATAGACATTCTACATACCCTACGCAGAGACAACCTACAAGCTTCTACACAACTAATCATTCTATACCCAACCCATCCCATCCCAGACCTTACACATAATAACATCCTTAACGACCCTTGCATTCCACGAATTCATATTGCAAATACATACACTACTCTCATTTGTACCCCAGGAGCATACCCTCTTATACAAGACAATAACGACAGCCTTTCTCACTACCGATATATCTGCAGGAACTGACTGATCATCTCTATCTCCAACGGAGGGAGAAGAAGAAGAAGACTAAATCGTATCGAAGTCTTATGTACGACATCGTGATACACACGTTTTTTAATTGAACGCCAGTATGTTAGAATCCAATTCCTAAAATGTTGAGAAAGATTAAAAAACTTGAAGGGACTATGTCCTATTTGCAGGCCAAAAAAAATGAAAAAGTTTAATTCCAACTGCATTTGAAAGATAATACTAATTTAGAACTTCCCTAAAAAAGGTGGGGCTTGAAAATGTCTTCAAGTGGGAAAATAACGACTATTAGTTGTCAAATCGAGTTTAGGGCTATAGAGCCCAAAAGTAATAGTCTTGATTTTCAGACAATTGTACCGAATGGAAATACGTTTTATGCTGCACAAAGATTCAATCAGTTTAATCTTGGCCATCACAAGAAGTGGGTTATTGATGTAGACAAATGCTCATGTACCCTTTACAACTCTTTTCATGTATGTTATTACCAAAGAGGGAAAATGCCAGTCAGTCACTCAATAGTGTCTGACAGTAAAGTCTAGCAAGTAAACGATTTTCCTTGCATAATTTGAATATGAGGACACTGCTAACGTTTAAATTTCACAGATAGGACATACATGACATATTCATAATTCCTGCAAAGTTCTACAGCATTTGAGGTTGGCTGCAAAAGGGACATAGTACCTTTAAAAGACATGAAATTATGTTCTATGAACTTTCACATGTTTTTAAGTTCTATTATATGCCAATTATACTGTGCATTTAATCTCCATGCAGCATAGTTGTGAAAATATTTCAAAATAAAGATATGGATATAATTTTTTTAAATAAAATGATATACAATTAATATCAGTTCTGTCATTACGCTTAACCATGCATGATATACGATGTAAGGCAACGTTTCACGAAACCGTCATACGTACAACTCCACTGACATGCCATTAAACACGTAAATTGTAATTTAAATACGTTTCAATGGGATGTCGGCCCGGCAGCTAATTTTTTTTCCCAAACAGGAAGTTTGCCAATGCTAATATTTCCGGTCATCTGATTGGCTGATATGTTACGTCATTAGCAATGACGTAACCGTTAGGGTGAGTGATGGGGTTATAGAAATCATGCAGAAACACCTGTCATCAACCCATCAACTCAATCGGTAAGGTCAGCGTAATACAATCATAGATTTGTGGGTTCAAGCCACAGTTTATTCCATTTGTTTGCCTTTATAAATAGTGAGGCAAAGCAATAAAAAATCAAAGTCTAATTGTTTGTGACCTCTTTCCAAGCTGATAATGACGTAGAACATATCAGCCATTGAGAAGAACGGAAATATAAGAAATTGCAAACCTGTTTGGCCGGGAATAAAAATTTCGCGGCCCCCCCCCCCCCCCACTCAATGTTATTTAGGGTACGCATATGCTCGTTCCCTCTTTTTGAAAGCACACCCTATCTAAGGACTGCCAATATTTCCGAACCCCCCTTTCGTGGGCATTTCGCGGGCTTTACCTATCTTGGAGACCCCCCTAAATCAGGAAAAATGCTCAATGTACCCCCCTAAATTGGACTAATTTCTCAGGAGTCCAAAGAGATGAGAGAAAAAAAAAGAAAAAACACACCCTTTTTAAAGAAATCTCCGGGTGAAAAGTCAAATACACCCCTTTTTTTTACAATTCTCGGGCCGGACTTTGTCGCACGAAAAGTATCCCTTTACCGGACATTTTGGCAACACGCATGCGGTCATTCCGACCTCTGAGTGGGGGGGGGGGGGGGGGGGATGTCGGTAAGTTTGTAATAATAATAATAATAATAATAGCTAGTTCTTATATAGCGCTTTTCAGGACCGAAGGCCCTCTCAAAGCGCTTTACCCCGGTCATAGGATTCAGGCTTACCCACACACAATGTATGCACATTCTCCACTCCCTGAGGAACATTCCAGCCAGGCGTCTTTTTCTGTACTTGTGATGGTTTCGTGAAAACGATGCCTGGATCGTTCTTCCATTGATTAGAATACACACACGAATGGAAAAGGAAGGATGTGTAATGTGTGTTTAATATTGTAGGTGTAGACTTAAAGGGATAGTTGAGTTCTGTTGCAGAGGGCGCTACACAAAATAATTTTTTCGTGAGATAATGAAAAATAGAGTGTCAAATTTGAAAGAACGTGAAATTTAAATGACAAAATCATCTTAGTTTGATCAAAATCGGTTCAGAGACGGCTGAAATATAACGATTTCTAATACTTGTGTACCACCACAAATATTAGATATTTTGAAAAATTTGAAAAAACCGTTGAAAAAAATGGAATAACGCCTTTTACGTCGTATTTGAGCCACTGCCAAAGTTGGCTTTTTTGTTGGCATTTTCTTGTTGCTTATATTAAGCACAACCAGCCGGCCCATGTATTGTTATTTTTAATTAAATAATTAAATAACGGTCACCGTGTTTTTTTTTTTTAAAGTGGAGCTGAATTGGTATGCTCGTATTGGCTAAATTTCACACATTTTGGGGGTCCAAAATAACCTTTACAGCAATTTTAGGTTCTAAAAGAGCACTATCAATGTCATAGATAAGAATAAGAGCAATAACCATGTACTTTGAAGGCATTTGCGATCTGAAAATAGAACTCAACTATCCCTTTAAAGGGGGGCCCTACCCTGATATGTAATTATTTTTAATAGAGGCAGGATAAGGACAAATAGATCGGAAAAAGTTTGAAAGAAAGTTTGAGAAAAATCCGATTGGAAAAATAAGAAAGGTTTTTCAAATTGCAATCAAACGTAAATTGGCAATTACCAGACATAGAGTTCTGGATCATTTGAAAAAAGTCTGTGGTAATTCTGGTTTCCTTCCACAGGCTCTCGTCAGCATTTTAAAGAAAAACAGTCAAGTTCATAACCATGCTACACGAAATGCCTCTGCGTTTCACTTACCCCAAGTAAGGACAAAGTTTACTTTTAATACTTTGGTTTTTACTGGACCTAGGTTTTGGAACTTGCTAGCCACTGGCGTACTGGTGGGGGTGCTCGGGGGGCGCCAGCCCCCCCCCCCCCCCCAAATAAAATTGAACCATGACTTATTTTCACAAGTAATGTATAAATGTTCGTGATATCACATGATTTTCAACAAAATGCTAGTTTCTCCATTATTTCTTGCAAACTGACCCATTCCCAAATAGCCAGAAAGAGCATATGGTTTTTTATAGTCACTAAGGGCCTTATAGTGGCCACTAACAGTAACACTAATTCCTTTCCAGAAGCTACTGTGCAAAGCACTGCGTACCGGGAGATAACATGCTACCCACCACTCGGGCTGAGCATGCACAGATTTGCGAACGAGCGTTCAATACTTACATCATGTATCACTGCATATATACCGTTAAGGGGCCCAGTGGGGGGAATTGAATTTAGACAACGGTACAACGAATCGTCTTCTTTCTCTAATTATTCAATGAAACGGTAAAGCTTCCGCGCTTCCGCGAAAATGAATTCAGACAAGGAGTAATTAATAGTAATAAT